CAATGTGATTTAGGAAGAACTCCAATGGGACTATGGTTTACTTTTGTCAGACACAGTATGAGAAGTGCCCACTAGATTTACCCAACAAGAAACTCTCAATGAGTCTAGAAAGAGCTGTACTGATAAAGTAGTAGCTGTAGGGCCAGATTGGACTAAGTAAAAATAAGTGGAAAGCCATTTGCAGGTTCACCAGGTCATACAAAAAGTCTAGAACACTGAAAAATATATTTTAAAAGGTGAGCATTTTTCTAAGTGGTGGCTTAGATAGAATTATCTTGACCTAGCATGAGATCCATACATCTTGATTCCGCATTTCTGATAGATAATTTGATCTTGCAACAGCAGTTCTTATGAATCTGAAATCATGATCTGCTCCCTTTCATAGTTCCCCATGACATTAAAAAGTGAAAGACCTTATTAAGATGAGAGGCCTGATTAAACAAACCTCATCAACGCAAGACTGAAGAAACAATTCGAAGCATACAAAGAAAGAAGCATTGATTAAATGACAGAAAATGATAACTAAAAACTTGTGAGCTAGGACATAATGTAGAAAGGAAATATTATTTTATAATAATATGAAATGGAGTGTCCTAAGTGAAATACTTGTAAAGTTCTGTATTATTGATGAGATAGGCAAGAAATACTTTATCAAGGTAGTATATAAAAACTTAAATATAAGACCTGGTTTCTAATAATAGAATCCAATAGTTTTTACTATTTCTTTCTAATAAAAACTAGAACACATAGATAAAAATATGTATTTGAATATTTTGGAAGATAGTAGATTTCCCAAAGTAGTAAAGAATTACTGTCTCAATCTACAGGCAAAAAAAAAAAAAAAAACCTCAGTAAGATGATTCTGACATTTATGGATGCTTTTTCCTGTAGCAGTGTCTGGCAGTTATAGTAGAGGAAGATAGAAAGGCCTAGAAGCTTGGTTAAACTTTGCTAGTCTTGTGGGGGCAGACCACACTTTGAAAAAAAGATAGGCATTGGTTACTCTCCACAATTCTATGGTAAAGAAAGGAGGAGCAGATGGATAGATTATAAGAGCCAGAAGTAAAGGTGAAAAGATTGTAAGACACAGAGGTGAGGGATGACTCCAGGGAAACTGTCTTCCAGACACAAGACTGATATACATATGAACTCAGAGAGACTGTGAAAGCATGCAAAAATCCTGCCCAAGTTCAGTACAGACAGGGTCCCAGCTATGTGCAATTGATACCCATTGGCAAATAGAAAATCACCTTTTCTCCAACTGAGTCTCACTGCGTATATAAACCACACTTCAGGGTAGGCTATATGCCTAGGCCAACACAAAACAAAGACAATGAATTTTTTGTGGACTTTTTGTTTCATTTTGCTTTGTTTTGTCTTTTTAGTCTTCTGTTGGTTTTAGTTTCTATTGTGTGGATTTTTTCTTCTTTTCTGTTCTTTTTGTTTTTTAGAGAGGGACAGAGGGACACACAGAGAGAATACAAAGTTGGATAGGTATGGAGGTAGAGAAGATCTAGGAGGAATTGGAGGACGGAAAAGCATAATGAAAACATATTGTATGAATTTTTTCAATGAAAGAGATGACTCTGCTGACTCCCCATGGGAGGCCTTACCTTCTTGTAGGAGGGAATGGAGGGTGGGTTGGGGTAGAAGGCTGGAGGGGCAGGAGGAAAAAAGAGGGTGATCTGTGATTGGTATGTAAAATGAATAAAACAAGTCTTAATAATAAAAAAAGATGACAACAACATCCGGAAAGGAAAAAAAGGCCAAGGAATTTCCATCATTATAGCAAAGTAAATTCAAAGAAAGTAGAAGAAAGAAAATGATAATTACAAGAACTGAAAGTAATAAAACAGTGGCAGATGACTGTAGAAACTTTAAAGAAAAACAATACCTTATTTGCCTAGATCAGTAAAGTTGATAATTTCTTTGTGGTGAGTGGTCAATCAAGCCCCAAATACAGAGGAAAGACTCTATTAACTAATATCAGTAATATGAAGTAGGAAATTAGCACAAATGAGTTGGCTTTTTGTCATTGCATTTGAACATGTTGTGAAGTAGGCAATTACCATAAAACCACAACATGTATTTACAACAACACAAATCAAAGAGCTCTATCCCACAGCAAACAATATCCTCATAAGGAAAATTCTAGTCTCACGTGACTATACTTGTAAATATATCAAAGTTTGAAGGATGAAAAGATTAATAATCCTGAATCAAATTTCCCAATGAATAGAAAAAGAGGAGATTCTTTAAAATGTGTCCTATGAAGTCACTATAAACTACATGTAAAATTCTAGCAAAGTTAATATATAGAAAAATGTAGGACAATGTGACACACATCAGAAGACAGTATGGGAAAAGAGAAATTCACATGAAATGAAATGAATGAAATGCATGAAAGTGTAATTATCACTTACCAAAACTAATGTAATGTAATTACATCGAAAACATCTCACAAAATATGTTCAAGCCCTCTATTGAAACCAGAAAATGTTTGAAGTGAAATGAGATATGACATGAATAAATGGAAAGCTATATGGTGTTCATGGACCGGAAAACCCAATTTTGAAAGATACCAATTTTCCTGAACAACTTTCATTTCACAATGAAACGAATGAGTATCAAAGTATCTTTGTCTCCATGTGCATTGTGTAGGTGTTTACGTGTTTGTGAGAACACTGCAGTTGACAGCAGGACCAAGTATCAAGATACAAAGCTCTACTAATTTAGAACTTACTAATACCGAGCTAGACACACCAAAATCCACACATAAAGAACACACATTTTATGGTGAAGGTGACCCTACAGACATGCAGAGAGAGTATTATGTTAAATTAAATGGTATGGAGAACTGAATACCCAGCAGAAAACTACATTATCATGTACATTAAATTAATTTCAAATCATATGTAGAAAGCACTATCTAGGAATGCTGCTGGAACACAACACTAGGAAATCATTTCCAGATTTTATGGTAGAAAATAATTTTTAAAGGCGTTATCAAAATACAACAATGAGAGCAAAATCCAATAATTTTGTGTCCACCAAAATTAATAGTTACCTACCAAAAGACAGAGAAAAGATATTCGAGTGGGTAGTATATATTACTGAAAAAGATCATGCATTTAGAATATTTTAGGAACTTCAAATTAATAGTAAAATGACCAGAAGTATGGGCATTATATAAAAGCACAACTAGATGACCAAATTCAAATATTACCACATATCAGGGACATAAACATGAAAATAAAGAGAAAATACCTTTACAAAAACACAATAACAGTTAAAAGTAAAATGAACAACACAAATAGTAATGTGTTATAGATAACTTGAGCGAAAGAAAGTCTCATGTACCACAGAAGGCTCTTTAGATTGGTGTGATCACTTTGGAAAAGTATTTGACATTATCCGCCAAAGTTGAATATATGTATATTCTGTTATGCCACAGTCACACCACTTAGGATTTTCTTGGCAGACTGAAAACAAGCACATGCTTTTCAAAAGGTATGTATAAAAGTGTTCACAGAAGAATTATTGGTGCTAGACAAAATGTGGACACATTTCAAACACTCATCAGCAATAGAATGAATAATTAGTTGTAGCAATTGTGTGAAGAAATGATAAACTGTAAGAAAATAATTGATAGCAAAATGCCACATATGGATAAATCTGCAAAAGCAATGTTGAATGAAAGAAATTTTAAAAAATCATACATATTGTAAGATTTCAAAAGCAGGCAAGTAATAGAAGTCAGGATTGTTGAGTCTTGTAGCTTATTAGGTCTAGTGAGGCTGAGACAATAGGAATGTTGCAAGTTTAAGACCAACTAGCTTGGGCTATGGTGGACACTGTGGAAAAAAAAAAAGAAAAAAGAAAAGAAAAGGAAGAAGAGCACCAACGTTCTTACCTAGACAAAGAGAGAAAGATGGTGGAAACTGGGAATGTGTTGTTACAGAAGGGCACTCAAGTTCCAGTCTGTATTTTTGACTTGCATGGGAGTTACAAGACATTCCATAGTTTGATAAATCATAGAACTGTATGTTGTGAGTATTGTATACTTTTGTCTGGGTGACACATTTTAATATGTTTAAAATTAAAGGTAGCCACTAAAAACAGCAAGAGAATATCTCTAACTGGTAGAGTGAGAAAAAAAAAAAGAACTCCTTCAAAGAAAAGGCAGAAAGGAGAAAAGTCAAAGAGAAAATTATAAATAGGAGACACAAAAGAAGATTATAGGATGTAAATCCAAACACATCAGTAATCCTAGTAAATGAAAAAGGAATTTAACTTGAATTTGAACAAAAGATTTTCTGTAACTGAATGAAAAGGAAAATCTAGTATTTTCTTTCAATCAAGAATAGATTGCTAAAACATACTAATAAAGAGAATTCATAAATAAAAGGAAGAAGCATAATAGACAGCAACCAAGAAAAAATTGAATATAATATTATCAGATGATGTAGACTTCAAAGCATAAAGCATTATCATGGATAAATTCAGTTATTATCTAATGACAAAAGTATAATTCACCAGGAAGGTATAGCCATCCAGACTCTGAAAATACAGATTCAAAATACATAAGATAAACTATGTAAAGCTTTATAGAGTTGGAGCAAGGCAAATGGACAATTTTGAAATCAGTCACAAGAAATTGAAAATTGGTGAGGATGTAGAAAATTTGAATAGATCAACAAATATCTTTAAAATACCAGACATAAATGGAACCCTGAGTCTATGACTATACAATAAGTATTGTTTTAAGCACACAAAGAAGAATGCCCATAAAGGCTACAAAAACATTTGTCCACAAAGCTAAGTCTCATGTGCTATTTCAGCAGAATGCAAGAAATTTAGAAATATATAACAAATTGTATTACAAAACTAACATTTCAGAAAAGATTTCCTTAAACACTTTAAAATAAGTCGTGGGTTATATCCAGAATTTACATTGGAAATTAGAAGTAATACAATGAAAATCATATTTTTTTTTAAAAAAAAAAATGGAACGCTTCACGAATTTGCGTGTCATCCTTGTGCAGGGGCCATGCTAATCTTCTCTGTATCGTTCCAATTTTTAGTATAAAATCATATTTTTTAAACCTTATGAAGATAGAAATCAAGCTGTAACTGAGCTAAAAACTTCTTCCCACCTGACTAGCTTTCATTTTTCCTGAAAGGTGCTTTGGAAGCTTCTGGGGTAAAAAGGCATCAATGTACTTACCTAACTATGAAACTTAAGAGTTCACATGGTGGTGGTGGTGGTGCACACCTTTAATCCTAGCACTCAGGAGGCAGAGGCATGTGGATCTCAGTGAGTTTAAAGGCCAGCACGCACTACAGAGCAAATTCCAGGACAGGTTCCAAAGTTACACAGAGAAACTCTGTCTCAAAAAGCCAACCCCCATTCCCCCCCCCCACACACACACAAAAAAGTCTAATACCAGCCCACATGGCAAGATGTGCCCACTGGTCATGCAGTGCCACAGTTATTATGGTGGAAACAAACCACTCTCTGATTGGATTTTAAGCCTGCTCCGCAAGAGGAAATTCCTTCTGTATACTGTAAATTCAGTTAAAAGCTCATGGCTGAGGAGGCTTTAGACACTAGTCTGGATTGTACTATAGTTATTTAGGTAAAGACATGATACCACAGCACCCTTTTAAATATTTATAATTATACCCATAAACAAATGCTACACGAAACCTTAACCAGAGAGCCTTCTCTTTGCAATAAACTGCAGCAAATACAAAGAATCATGGCTATTTAAGCTGTTGCAAATGAGTGACATTGAAATGCTCAATCCAAGATAGGGCACTCATGTCACCCTCTCTATACTCAGGGAACATTCTAGGAAATGGGGCAGAAGGAATGTAAAAGTTGGGAGACAGAGGGAAGGTGTTCAAAATGCTGTCTTCTGGATATAACATAACCATTGCAATCATGATCTCACAGCAGCTGAAGTTGACTGGACTAGGCCTGCACAAGACTGGGTATGTCATTAGTCAATCACGAGTTGGGGAGGGCCTTATGACACCACACTCCATCTTACCGACTAATTGCCCACTGGTGGATTCTGAGGGAGATGCAGTCATTGTCTTCACTTGTGTATCTTGTAGGTGAGCCTACTAACTCCAATAGGTAATTTGAAACACCTAGTCACACAGACAATCTTGCAGAAAACCAGTGAGTCAAAAAACAAGATAAAAGGGGGGCGGGCGGGGGGAGAACAAGGGAATCCGTGGCTGATATGTAGAACTGAATTGTATTGTAAAATAGAATTAAATTAAATTAAAAAAAGTATATTCTGGCACATCATCAGAAATGTCATCTCACTGTAGATAAGATCCATAGACTCATAATAAATCATAAAATATTTATTATCAAAAAAACAAGATAAAAATAGATGTTTGAAAGGGATTTGTAAGGACTGAGGAGTTGTCAGGGGTAGGAGAGAGCTAGGAAAAGGTTGGAAGGGAGAGTAACCAGAATTCATGATGTACATATATGAAATTATGTTATATAAAATAAAATAAATAAGTTATAAAAGAAAGCAATAAAAGTTATAAAAGAAAGTAATAAAAGAAAGCAAAAAAACCTTGTGAAATGCAAATTAGGAACTTTGAGGAAATTTATAGACTCAATACATTTAGTATAAAAGAACAATTAAAATACAGTATACAAAATCCTTGTCTCAAGAAGAGAAAGCAGATAACTTTGTGTGTTCATTTCCACCTCCCTTGCCGCTTTCCATCATCTTTCCACGTCTTCACCACAGTGTGCATGAATGTCCTAGCCATATGCTGTCAAGAGCATTGACAGTGCTGAGAAGAGAGGCAAACACCAGTTCCTCATCAGGGCATGCTCCAAAGTCATTACCGGATTCCTAACTGTGATAATAAAGTGTGGTTGCACTGGAAACTGTGAAATTGTTTTTGACTAGAGAGTTGAGAAAATTCTCGTGAACCTTACAGGCAGGTCAAACAAATGTGGAGCGATTAGCTTTAGATTTGGTGGGAAGCTCAAAGACCTAGAAAAATGGCAGAATAATCTGCTCCCAACCTGTTAGTTTGGTTTCATTGTATTGACAACCTGAGTTGGTATCATGGACCACAAAAAAGCCATATGAAAGTACACAGGAGGGAAAATTCTGGGATTCTTTTTCTATAAATATAAAACACATAAATAGAGAGCCTTAGTGGGGGTGAGAAGTAGAGAAAGCAGGGAATACACTTAAACTTATTGGCACAGGAAAAGAATTTCTGAATAGGACCCTGATAGTGTAAGCATTAAAACTAACAATGGATAAATGAGACCTCCGGAAACCAAAAAAAGTTTCTGTACAGCAAAGATCACCACTGCTTGGGTGTAGAGACAACCCATAGAACAGGAAAAAAGTCTACATATGACAGAGGGTTAGGCTCTAGAATATATAAAAGAACTAAAAAACAAGAAAACAAATAACCCAACTAAAATTGGGCTGTGGAACTAAACAAAATTCTCACAAGAAGACATGCAAATGGCTGAGAAACATTTTTTTTTTTTTTAAAGTTCAACCTCCTTAGCAATCAGGGAAGCACAAATTATAGCTACTTTGAGATTTCATCTTACCCCAGTTAGAATGGCTGAGATTAATACAACAAATCATCAAAGATGCTAGCAAGGAAGCAGGGAAGAGGGAGCATTTATTCATTACTGGTGGGAGTACAGCCACTATGGAAATCAGTGTGGAGGTTTGAATTTGAAGAAATATGGGAGGATTTGGGGGGAGGAAAAGGAAGAGAGAAATGTTGTAATTATATTTTAATCTCAAAAATAAAACAAAGAAGCTGAAAATAGATATCCCACATGACCCAGCTATACCATTCTCAGGCATATGCTCAAAAGACTCTAAATATTACTGTGAAGATCCTTGCTCATCCAGGTTTGTTGTTGTTCTATTTATAATAGCCAGAAATTTGAAACAGCTTAGGTCTCCATAAACTGATGAATAGATAGAGAATATGTCATACATTTACAGAATGACATATTAATCAGTTGTTAAGATAAATGAAATTATGAAATGTGCATGTAAATGGGTATATCTAGAATCAATAATCCTGACTGAGGTAACCCAGACTCAGAAAGACAAACATCATATATTTCTTCTTTCTTGTGAATTTTAGCTTTAAATCCTCAGATGTGATTCATTTGGAATATCCATAGAGGTCAGGAAATTACTAAGGGGCCACAGGGAATGGCTTCCAAGAGAGTGGAGAGGGATTGCACTAATATAAAGGGTGAGAAGGGAATAATGGATAGAGTTAAATTGAGGTTGGAGAAGGAAGATCAGGCTGGAGGAAGGAATATAGGGTGGAATAAATAATACTAAAGACTTTGTGAAAAGGTCACATGGAAACCTACTACTGTAGATGTTTCCTAACACACACACACACACACACACACACACACACACACACACACACACACACACACACACACACACACAAAGTTAAAATGGAGTGACTATATAACAGGGCACTAATATCCCTACTAGATACCAAAAACTAACAAATAAAAAGCCCATTTCCAGAAATGGGCAACTTTTCCTGAAGTTGTTGGCCAGTGAGATCCCACAGACCCCTAAGCAGTACAGGATGTTGCCAATTCTTGATTACTCTCTAGAGCTTGACAGTATGACCCTATTGTTGAAGATACATAAATACTTGAGTCATGAAAAATGGAAAAATCAAGTTGGTACTGATCTAGAAGCTTCATCTCTACTGGCTAGCTTTCATAGTGGAAGATAGTATGTACTCTGCTGGATTTGAAAAGTGACAATGAACCTTTCAGTATTGTACTAGAGATCTTAAATAGCACAATAAAATAATCAAAAGTGTGAAATAAGTAATGGTTGCAAAGTGAGATAGCGCTAAATAGCAATGAAAACTATGAAAAGCAGAAGACAATATAACAGACTCTAGATGCGAAGTCAAACAAAAATTCCGCATGTCTATATATCAGAGATAGCTAATAAACCTGCAATTTGTAAAAAAAAGAAATGCCCATTCATAATAATAACAAATGTAAAAAATATCATCACTTTACGTAATATTTTTTGATGATCAATTACAAGTATCCAATCAACCAATTGAGAAATATATGTTCTGTGTTCATAAGTTAAAAGCCTCATATCTTTAGGGTATCAACATTTGTCTGCTTAGTTGTATAAATCCATGTAATTCTTGTCAACATGCCAACATTTTTTTTTGTAGCATGTGAAAATCTGATCTTAAAATTCAGAAAGAATTCTAGGCATGGTGACAAATGCCTGCAATCCTAACACTAAGGTACAAAGGTGGCTGTGGGAGATTCAAAGTTTCAAAGCCACTCTGGATGGTGTAAAGAGTTTTAGGCCAGAATGTGATACATGAAACCCTGTCTCAAAACACCAACTCCCTTCAAAAAAAATAAAACCCTTGTCATCCTGATGGAAAAGGAATAACCAAGAATAAGCCAAATCATTTTACAGTATGTTAGTAGGTGAGTTTAGGCCCCAACTTAAATTTTCATCAGTAGGAAAATGGATAACACATTTTAGCACAAAACTATACAAGTTAACTTGAATAATGTAGAGATACATGACTCAATATCGGAAGTCTTCAAATCCTGAAGGAAGAAGGTAAAACTCAAACACAGAATAATTCAAAAATAATCTACACATATTTGCAAAGGCTAGAACTCTGTAAAATTGGCTAAGTTTAACATAGTAGTTTCTTTTTATATATGTATTACATTTTTAAATTTATTAATTAAAGGTTTTCATTCATTTTGCATCCCAACCACAGTTTCCCCTACCTTTTTTCTTGTTCCCTCCCACATCCACCTCTCCTCTACCCCCTCCTCCCATGGGCAACAACAAAGCATGGCACATCAAGTTAAGGCAGGACCAAGCCGCTCCCCCTGCATCAAGGCCTGGCTAGGCAACCTAGCATGGGGAATAGGTTCCAAAAAGCCAGCTCATATGCCAGGGACAGGTTCTAATCCCACTGCTAGAAGCCCCACAAACAGACCAAGCTACACAACTGTCACACACATGCAGAGGGCCTAGGTCAGTCC